TCTGAAGTCTGCTGCAGGGGTGAAGAATTAGTCCTTAATGGTGCCAGATGAAAAGTGGGTGAAGGAAAGGGGCATTCGAGCCGTCTCGTGGGCGTGCAGGGGCCGCAGGGGCCACAGGGGCCACGGTTGGCAGCTTCCCCGTGTGGGGTGCAGAAGCCAGCGGGAAATTCTTCACGCATAAGAACTGAGGGTTTTCCAAGCTGGCCAGGGCCTCTGCGCTTACACTGAGGGCATCGCTCCTTGGAAGGGCGGCAGGGTCTCTGGCCTGGCCCCGTGGTACCGTCCTTTGCCCACAGCACAGTCCAGGCCAGAGTTCCGCCCCCATGTCAGGCTGATGCTGGGGAAGGCGTCCTCTGAAAATGTCCCTCCTGCCCAGACGTGCTTACTTTCTGTCTCTCGTTCTTTCCTCCTCTTCCCTTCCCTCCCTCCTTCCTCCCCCGGCACCATCGAAGACGTTTCAGTTTGCTGAGCCGAACGTTGGGAAAACCCAACCAGCCGGGCTGTTTCTGGCCGGCATGGCCTGTGGTGCCTGCCTCCCGGGGCTCTGGTTGTGTGCACACCGTGTGTGCTCAGGGGCTCTGCCCTGCGTCAGGAGGGCCTCCTCCTCCTTTACGCTTCTGGGCTGATGGCTCTTTCTGGAAACAGATCAACTCCCCTTTCACTAAACACATTTCCCAATTCCAGCCTCTCCTGGGCCACGTGATCCTAACACACGGAAACAAAAACTGGAAGAGTCATGAACCAAAGCCATCTCCCCGCAGGGCCGGACTTCATCGCAAAAGAAGGGACGTGACCAAGAGAGGCCGTAAATGCTGCTGGAGCTAATGTCTGGCCCCAGACGTGCTTCGGGTCTACCCTGCCGGGTCACAGAGTCACTGTGACGCCCCCGGGAGGCCAGCAAGGGTTACTGCAGCAGCCACGTCAGTGGGGGCAGTGAAGGGTCTTAGTTTTCTGAACGAAACACAGACAAAGAAAACTCTGGGTTGAATTCGTTCTGACCCCCTAGAGAAAGCAGTGCTTTTTCCTCTTGCTAGAGGCACAAATAAACGTTGGCTTAGCCAGTGTCTTTCTGGCAAGAGATGGGGAAAGTGGCACCAGGCCCTCTGCAGAAATATCACAAGAGGAAAGTTATTATCAAGACTATTAAAGGGAAGAATTAAAAAAAAAAAAAACAAACAATTCCACTTTTTAAAATGAGGGAGTTTTTTGTTTTGTTTTTTTTTAATTTTTTTTTTTCAACGTTTTTATTTATTTTTGGGACAGAGAGAGACAGAGCATGAACAGGGGAGGGGCAGAGAGAGAGGAAGACACAGAATCGGAAACAGGCTCCAGGCTCTGAGCCATCAGCCCAGACCCTGACGCGGGGCTCGAACTCACGGACCGCGAGATCGTGACCTGGCTGAAGTCGGACGCTTAACCGACTGCGCCAGCCAGGCGCCCCTAAAATGAGGGAGTTTTATGATATGTAAATGACACCTCAATAAATCTGTTTGGGGTTTTTTTTAAGGCGCAAAGGTATCCCCTCCTGTCTTCGTCCAATCAGGCTTGTATGACAAAGTGACAGGGACCAGGTGGCTTGTACACAGCAGACCTTTGCCTCTTGCAGCTCAAGAGGCCAGGCCAGCACCCCCCGCCCTCCCCCTGCCCAGGCTGTTGTGTCCTCACGTGCTGGACGGAGTGCAGGGGCTCTCTGGGGCCCCTGTGCTAAGGGGGGGCCCCCAGTCATGAGGGCTGCATCCTCACAAAAGGCCCCGCCTCCTGAAACCACCGCCCTGGGGATC